TAGATAAAATAGATTCTCTGCAATCATGATCTTGCAGGTGAGTCGTTGTTGCTGAGGATAAGTTTAGCTGTTTGAAATTTATTATGGTACATAATATTATTTTCTTGTTCTGGTCGACTGGAGTTGTGTATTTCTTTATAATGCTTCTAAGAAATATATATATATATATATATATATATATATATGTGTGTGTGTGTGTGTGTGTGTGTGTGTGTGTGTGTGTGTGTGTGTGTGTGTGCGAAAATATATAGAAAATAGGAAGGAACTGGTTAGGTAAATAATCCAAAGTCCTTTAGTATTTTAGTTATTATTTTTAAAAAATAGTACTCGATACAAAAGTAGAGCATAAATATAATTATTTATTTAAAATCATTTGAATCGTATTTTTAAATAAATAATATATATATATATATATATATATATATATATATATATATATATATATATGCGTATACACACATGTATATGCCTACACACACGCATGCGCACACACACGCACACTCAAATGGTCATTGCCACATTTTGCTCAGGTGAGACCGACCCCGTCAGCATTCAGACTGTGATAGTTTCCTCTTCGTTTCGGTGTCCGTGATGAATCTTGATAGTAGCATTCGATTTCCTATGTATCAGCGATATATGACAGATGAGCCCTGTATCCTTGAGTGAGTTGATTGGATCTGCATGCCCTAAAACTCTCCTGTGTATCAACATGTGTCCTCTTGGATCAAATGATTGATCTGCAAACCTTCTTGCCATCAACAGCAGCAGGAAGATGTCTCAAATGACCATAGTTGGTTTGCTTCTGGTTGTTATGATGACTTTTCAGATAGTTTACTTAACCTGCCCACGACAACAGCATGCGCTCGCACACACAATATCACCTTGAGTGCTTCTTTGGAGATCAAGCTTGATATATATATATATATATATATATATATATATATATATATATATATATATATGAAATGGACAAAGTCAAACAATTATTTTAAGAAAATTTTTATGCTTATACGTTCTTTTTTAGATACAAATATTTAAGTAAATGCTCTGTTTATAATAAACAGTATTGTGACACTATTTAGCAGTTGCGTGAAAATTAAAAGCGAGAAATAATTAAGGCGAGAAGAAGCTATCACGAAAGACATACTGAGCGATGTTATTTTTTTTAACAAAGAAAAGTGGTAAAGATTTTATTTTCATTTGCGAAGAAGAAAAAATTTTTTTTTTCGTGGAAGATAGGAAATTCGTAAGATCTCGGATCTGTCGGAATTAATTTATGCTATGACGCGGCGAATAAAAGATAGTAATCTACCCATGGCAATAATGAAAATTTCAAATTGGTCAAGTGACCTACAAAACAGAATGCTGGAAGATAATCGTAATCAGGTCACGCACCGACCGAGAAAGGCATCAGCTGAGACCACCCCCAAAGAAAAAGGAAGGTGAAGGAATAAACCATTAACTATCTTTCGGAGATATCATTTGTTTTTGGGGAGAGACACCTGTTTTATATCCAGATCTGGACATGATAAAAGTTTGTTGCCGGGACAGATCGCTGGCGACAGGGTTCGAAGACGTCCAGTTGACCACCCATTTGACGCTTGGCGAAAATCTCGTTGATAAATTCCAGATGACATACGGTTAAGATAGAGATTAAGAACCACACTACGGTTTGTAGGGGTCTGCTCGAAAAAAAAAAAAAAAGAAAAGTAAAAAAGAAGATAATTTTTTTTCTTCCTTTGAGCGATAATTTTAAACTGAGGCCAGACTAGCCACACCCAGGCTGCCGAGCGTTCATTGGCTGAGTGTTGGCGTGAGCGGTGGGTGAAGTTAAACATATGAGAAAGAGGGGAGACCTGTTGACGCCTCTGAGGGGATTGGTGTGAGATACCACTATGAGAAAGAAGGGAAACCTGTTGACGCCCTCTGAGGGGATTGGTGTGAGATACCAATATGAGAAAGGAAGAATTTGGGAGGACGATTCCCTTAAGAACCCCTCTAAAGCAGAAAGTAATGGACTTCCAAAAATGGAAAGTGATAAATTTTCCTGTCCGAAAACAAAGAAAATCCTTATTGTGTATTTAGAATTATCGAGGAACCCAAACCACGACAGGCTCACACCCGGTTTTGGTCGGCGTCCATATAAACGGAGTAGACAGCGGCAGTTGAGCAGAGTCACGACAGAGCTCTGAGACCAGCCTCGTAGGAAGCTGACTGAAAGATATCCACGCATTCCGACTTCGACTTCTAACCAAAAACAATTTATTTTTGAAGAACGACTTAGGCTCACACCATCAAAACAAGTTTTACGAATATCACCTGAAGATACAAAAAACAAAAACAAAAAAAAAACAGTTATTGAAAAACAACTTAAGATACTAAGACTCGCCTAACAAACGCAAAGTGTCACGTATCCATATTAGCGGTTTGGGAGAAAGATGCAGTCCTGTATTCAGCAACCAGATATAAAAATATTTGTTATTCTTTTTTTAACACATTTGAATCTTTCGAGTTGTTACTTTATTTTCTTTTACATATACTTGTGCGATGTCACATTTGCTCGAATTCGGCAAAATCGAACCGTCTTATAGCCTGACGTGTCTTTTACCGATTGAGCCACAGAAGAGCTTTTCGGTTAGCAAGATCATGGAGAATTGTAGTTTAAAAACAGTAAAATCGACCGTGCTAACCGAAACGCTCCTCTGTGGCTGAATCGGTAAAAGCACGTCAGGCTATATGACGGTTCCGTATAGGATACAGGTTCCATTCCTGTCGGAGGACGCATATTTTCTATGAAAATTTCTCGAACATCCAGGCCGGTAAATGTCGTTAATACTGTTTATTATAAACAGAGCATTTACTTAAATATTTGTATGTATAAAAAGAACGTATAAACATAAAAAAATGTCTTAATATATATATATATATATATATATTTAGTGAAAGAGACGGAGAGGTGTTGAATGCAAGGTTAGGCTAATTCGTTTTAACTTTTTAAGATCAATTTGCACTATTCATTTAGGATTAATGACATATTTTTGGGGACATTGACACCTTGAACTAATTCAAGCAGGCTCTTTTCAGGAAATCGATATTGGTAAGGATTTTTCACAGGAAATCTGTGTCAGCGTTGGACATCAGTTAGCAGATCCCGAGAGACGAAAGTTGTAAACGAATTTGTAAAATTGCCTGATTAACTTAAGAATTAACCCTGATTTCATTATATAAACTAAATTAAAAATGGATTATTTGCCATTTTCATGTTTCAAAAGTGAAAACCTGATTTTATACCTACCTGAAAAACTTGAAAATTAAAAGAAAATAAATTTGATTAAGTGTGCGTGTCTAAGTATTGCCTGAGACTGACATCGATTAATTTTGGTTTTATTGTTTACTAGCAGCAATCGCTATCACTTGACTTGAAATATTTTTGCCCTTCCTTGCCTTTAAAGAAGTGCCCTTTGCCGTGCTGATGTTGCTACATGCCTTACTTCTTGCCTATCTCACACTGCGAATTTTTTCTAAGCTCTATACTAAACATTAAATCTGTTACGAAAAAAGAACTAAACAAAATGAACACAAAACGATCAGCTTTAAAAATGAACTCGTAACTGGAAAAACCGAATGAAAAAAGAATGTTAACAACAAATACTTTTTCACACCCAACCCAGTTCTGCGGAATCAGAATCAACGTTGAGATTAAGCAAGCGAATGAGCCAATTAGAGTAAAGTGCCATGCAGATTTAAATTTTCCCCACTTGTGACGAATACAGCTATCGAATTTTTTTTGCATGCTAGTTAACATTCGTGTCAGTCAGCTGTTGGCTCTCACGCTGGCCAATAGAATCGTTCTGCCTATTCGTGACAGCCAGGTATAGGCTCTCACTCTGGCTAGTACAAAATGGCCGCAAACAACAGGACAACTGCCGTAGAAGCATGAAAAAATCGATTATTTTTTACTATCGATGGGAGTTGGGAAATGCAAAGTCGGTCTTGGCCTTTGCGCTAACTTGGAGCATGTGCATGTAAATTTTGGTGCAAATCCGTCGAAAATTGCGGCCGTGCATTCGTTACACACACACACACACACACACACACACACACACACACACACACACACACACACACATCCTGCCTTTTATAGATAGAGATTTCTACCGGCATGTCTTATAACCAACATAACGATTTATGCCTAACCGAAAGAATTTACTTATTTGATTTTAAACATTAAAAAAATGAACCTGTCCTCTGATCTAGCTGTTTTGAGGAGCGTCGAATCACCTCTTAATTTCTACTGTTCCTTTGCTTTCAGAACGCGTACAATAACTTAAGCAAAACTACAACATAAAACACACATATCACTGCCTAAGGTTTTGAGGAGCGTGGAATTGTTGGTGTTCACAGGTCATCTCTGACCCGGGGTGGTAGCACCTGTTATGATAGCAGGTAGGAGCAAATAGTTAACCCCAGAACTGGAGTTAAAACACCATGGAAGTGTAAAAAATTATAATAAAAATACCAGCAATACATCTTTATAGCAAAAAAAATTACCAGCAATACATTTTTGTAAAAAAAAAACAACAATATAACCAGCAATACATTTTGTAAAAAAATTACTAATGCGCCCAAGATAATTAAATTTCGGCCTAATCTATAACGACCATATTCTGCTAAACAAACAAAAAAAATAAGTATATTTTGTTACTTATTTCCAATCAGATTTGTTTTATATCTTTGTAAATAAATGGTTATTTCACAATAAGATTCCGTAGTTATTCAAATAAAGTAATTTTCTGTTCCGAAAGTGATAACTAACATAGAATTTCAATCACGGTCTGATCAAAAAGTATCGCAGCTGTTGCTATGGTAACGGGGTTAAAGCAAACAGTGTATAGCCTAAAGTACACAGATTGACCTTGAACTCTGTCGCGCAAACGCACTAAGTTATAACGTTTTTCGCTCACTTCCGTGGTTTATAACAGTGCTTGGAAAGAAAGTGTGTAGTGTGTGGTCGTCTCGGCACAACACAGAGATTCCATCAGTTACCATGGCTTGTGCAACGCTTTGACAACCACCATATTCTCCAGATTTCTCACCTTGCGACTTTTTTTCCTTTTCGAAAATCAAATCCCACTTGAAAGGAAGAAAGTTTGAAGATGTCGAGGAAATCCAAGATAATTCGAAGCGGCATTTTCTCGCTATCCCCCAAAATGGACAATAATAAGACTTTCGATCTCTAGGCTGGGAGATCTTAATGTATATAATTAAAATAAAAACAAAACAAAATCAGAGATGCTTACTTAGACATGTGTATCTACTTAATATGATGTTTCTAATAATAATAATAATAATAATTCGCTTTATTTCTTATTATAAACATTATATTTTGTAGGGATACGTAATTAGGCTTTATTGTATTTTTTAACCGAGAAATTAATATTGACCCACTAGTGAAACGGATATAGGCGCGGAAAATGAAATAGGCGATCGGAGTTCAAATTCCAGCTTAAATTCCTGCATTCACTTTCGCACAAATGCTCTTCTTCCTCATGCTATGGGTTAAATAGAAGGGTAGATTGAGCTCTGTAGCCTTTGGAAGTAACCACTCTAAGACAAAGCAAACTCTGAATTCTAAACCGTATCTTCTTAAGCCGTAAAAAACAAATCGATCAATCAATCAATAATTACAACTCAGTTTCTTTTCTTCTCCATTTTTTCTCTTTTCTTCCTCTTCCTTCTTTTTCTTCTCGTGCCTTCGCTGACGTTTTCTATGAAGCTTCATTTTCCATCTCTAATAAGCCTAACCATTTGCTTTTCTTTCTCCTCAACGTCGCCTTTCTTCTCTTCTCCCTTCTTCTTTCTTCTCGTTTTCCTTCTCTGACGTTTTCTATGAAGCTTCCTTTTCCATCTCTTATAAGCCCTTTCCATTTTGCTTTTCTTTTCCTCTCAACGTCGCCTTTCTTCTCTTCCCCTCTCCCTACTCTTTCTTCTTTTGCCTTCTCTGACGTTTTCTATGAAGCTTCCTTTTTCCATCTCTTATAAGCCCATTTGCCATTTCCTCAACGTCCTTTCTTCTTTCTTCCTCTCCTTCAACTTCGCCTTCTCTCTTTTTCTCTTCCTTTTCCATCTTTTTTTTCTTTTCTTTCCTTCAACTCTGACGTTTTTCTCTTCCCCCTCCTTTTTCCATCTCTTATAAGCCCCCAACCATTTGCTTTTTTTTTCTCCTCAACTTCGTTTTCTTCTTATAAGCCCTAACCATTTGCTTTTCTTTCTCCTCCCTCAACGTCGTCTTTCTTCTTTCTCTCTTCTCTTTCCTTCTCTGATTCTCTGACGTTTTCTATGAAGCTTCCTTTTCCATCTCTTATAAGCCTAACCATTTGCTTTTCTTTCTCCTCAACGTCGTCTTTCTTCTCTTCTCCCTTCTCTTTCTTCTCGTGCCTTCTCTGACGTTTTCTATGAAGCTTCCTTTTCCATCTCTTATAAGCCTAACCATTTGCTTTTCTTTCTCCTCAACGTCGCCTTTCTTCTCTTCTCTCTTCTCATTCTTCTCGTGCCTTCTCTGACGTTTTCTATGAAGCTTCCTTTTTCCATTCTTATAAGCTAACCATTTGCTTTTCTTCTCCTCAACGTCGCCTTTTTCTTCCTCTCCATCTCTTCTTCTTTCCATCTCTTCTCTGAGGTTTTCTATGAAGCTTCATTTTCCATCTCTTATAAGCTCTTTCCATTTGCTTTTCTTTCTCCCTCAACGTCGCCTTTTCTTCTCTTCCTTCTCCCTCTTCTCTTTCTTCTTGTGCCTTCTCTGACATTTTCTATGAGCTTCCTTTTTCTTTTCTTCTTAAACCCTAACCATTTCCTTTTCTTTCTCCTCAACGTCCTCTTTCTTCTCTTCCTCTCCTTCTCTTTTTCTTCTCAACTTCTCTGACGTTTTCTATAAAGCTTCCTTTTCCATCTCTTATAAGCCCTAACCATTTGCTTTTCTTTCTCCTCAACGTCGTCTTTCTTCTCTTCTCCCTCCTCTTTCTTCTCATTCCCTTCTCTGACGTTTTTTCTCCTTTTCCTTTTCCATTTCTTTTCAAAGCTCAACGTCTTTGCTTTTCTTTCTTCTCTTCTCTTCTTCTTTTTCTGACATTTTCTCTTCTCCTTTCCATCTCTTATAAGCTAACCTTTTGCTTTTCTTTTTCCTCAACGTCTTTCCTTTTCCATCTCTTCTTCTCGTGCCTTCTCTGACGTTTTCTATGAAGCTTCCTTTTCCATCTCTTATAAGTCAACCATTTGCTCTTTTCCCTTCTCGTCGCCTTTCTTCTCTTTCTTCTTCTCTTCTCTTTTTTTTTCTATGATCGTTTCCTTTTCCTTCTCTTCTTATTAAGCCCTAACCATTTTCCTTTTCTTTCTCCTCTCGTGCATCCTTTTTTCTCTTCTCTTTTCTCATTCTTCTCGTGCCTTTTTTCTCTGAACGTTTTCTTCTCTTCTCTTCTTTTCCATCTTCTTATAAGCCCCATCTCCATTTTGCTAATTTATTTTTTTTTCCTCAACGTCGTCTTTCTTCTCTTCTCCCTTCTCTTTCTTCTCGTGCCTTCTCTGACGTTTTCTATGAAGCTTCCTTTTCCATCTCTTATAAGCCTAACCATTTGCTTTTCTTTCTCCTCAACGTCGCCTTTCTTCTCTTCTCTCTTCTCATTCTTCTCGTGCCTTCTCTGACGTTTTCTATGAAGCTTCCTTTTCCATCTCTTATAAGCCTAACCATTTGCTTTTCTTTCTCCTCAACGTCGCCTTTCTTCTCTTCTCTCTTCTCTTTCTTCTTGTGACTTCTCTTTCCATTTCTATAAGCCCAAACCATTTGCTTTTCTTTCTCCCTCGTCCGCCTTTTTTTTTTTTTTCTTTTCTCTTCAACGTCCTTTTCTTCTCTTCTCTCTTTCTCTTTTCTCGTGACTTCTCTGACGTCGTTTTTCTATCCATCTTCCTTTTCATCTCTTATAAGCCCTAACCATTTTTTCTTTCTCTCTCAACGTCGCCTTCTTCTTCTCTCTTCTCTTTCTTCTCTTCCCCTTCTCTTTCTCTGACGTTTTCTATGAAGCTTCCTTTTCCATCTCTTATAAGCCCTAACCATTTGCTTTTCTTTCTTCTCAACGTCGCCTTTCTTCTTCTTCTCTCTTCTTTTCTTCTCGACCTTCTCTGACGTTTTTTCTATGTAGCTTCCTTTTCCATCTCTTTATAAGCCCCATTGCATTTGCTTCTTCTTTCTTCTTCAACGTCGCTCTTTCTTCTCTTCTCTTCTCTCTTTTCTCTTGCTTGCCTTCTCTGATATTTTCTATAACCATTCCTTTTCCATCTCTTTAAAGCCTTTCCATTTGCTTTTCTTTCTCCCTCTCTGCGTTTCTTCTTTCTTTCCTTCTCTTATCTTCCTTCTCTTTCTTCTCCTGCCTTTCTTCTCTCTTCTTTTTCTTCTGAAGCTTCTCTGACGTTTTTGAAGCCTTCTCTTATAAGCCTAACCATTTGCTTTTCTTTCTCCTCAACGTCGCCTTTCTTCTCTTCTCTCTTCTCTTTCTTCTTGTGACTTCTCTGACGTTTTCTATGAAGCTTCCTTTTCCATCTCTTATAAGCCTAACCATTTGCTTTTCTTTCTCCTCAACGTCGCCTTTCTTCTCTTCTCTCTTCTCTTTCTTCTCGTGCCTTCTCTGACGTTTTCTATGAAGCTTCCTTTTCCATCTCTTATAAGCCTAACCATTTGCTTTTCTTTCTCCTCAACGTCGCCTTTCTTCTCTTCTCTCTTCTCTTTCTTCTTGTGCCTTCTCTGACGTTTTCTATGAAGCTTCCTTTTCCATCTCTTATAAGCCTAACCATTTGCTTTTCTTTCTCCTCAACGTCGTCTTTCTTCTCTTCTCTCTTCTCTTTTCTTTCTTTTGTGCCTTCTCTGACGTTTTTCTATGAAGCTTCCTTTTCCATCTCTTATAAGCCCTAACCATTTGCTTTTCTTTCTCCTCAACGTCGCCTTTTCTTCTCTTCTCTCTTCTCTTTCTTCTCTGACGTTTTCTATGAATCTTCCTTTTCCATCTCTTATAAGCCTAACCATTTGCTTTTCTTTCTCCTCAACGTCGCCTTTCTTCTCTTCTCTCTTCTCTTTCTTCTTGTGACTTCTCTGACGTTTTCTATGAAGCTTCCTTTTCCATCTCTTATAAGCCTAACCATTTGCTTTTCTTTCTCCTCAACGTCGCCTTTCTTCTCTTCTCTCTTCTCTTTCTTCTTGTGACTTCTCTGACGTTTTCTATGAAGCTTCCTTTTCCATCTCTTATAAGCCTAACCATTTGCTTTTCTTTCTCCTCAACGTCGCCTTTCTTCTCTTCTCTCTTCTCTTTCTTCTCGTGCCTTCTCTGACGTTTTCTATGAAGCTTCCTTTTCCATCTCTTATAAACCCTAACCATTTTACTCTTTCTCCCTCAACTTCCCTTTCTTCTCTTCTCTCTTCTCTTTCTTCTTGTGACTTCTCTTCTTTTCTATCTCTTCTTTTTCCATCTCTTATAAGCTTCTAACCATTTTCTTTTCTTTCCTCAAACGTCTCGTTTCTCTCTTCTCTTCTCTCTTTCTTCTTGTGCCTTCTCTGACATTTCTATTCCTTTTTTTTCCTTCTCTTTCTTCTTTCTCGTCTTTGCTTTTCTTTCTCCTCAACGTCTTTTTTCTTCTCTTCTCTCTTCTCATTCTCTTTTCTTCTACTTCTCTCCTCTTTTCTATCTTCTCTTCCTTCTTTTCTCTCTTCCATCTTTTAAGCTCTCTCTTCCATTTGCCTTTCTTCTCTTTCTCTCCTCTTCTTTTTTTCTCTTCTCTCTTCTCCCTTCTCTTTCTTCCTCATTACCTTCTCTGACGTTTTTCTGACGTTTCATTTTCCATCTCTTAAGCCTAACCATTTTTTTTCTTTCCTCAACTCCTTTTCTTCACTTCTTCTCTTTCTCTTTCTTCTTGTGCCTTCTCTGACGTTTTCTGAAGCTTCCTTTCCATCTCTTATAAACCTAACCATTTTTACTTTCTTTCTCCTCAACGTCGCTTTCTTCTCTTCTCTCTTCTCTTTCTTCTTGTGCCTTCTCTGACGTTTTCTATGACTTCCTTTTTCCATCTCTTATAAACCTCCTTTGCTTTTCTTTCTCCTCAACTTGTCGCCTCTTCTCTTCTCTCTTCTCCCATTCTTCTCGTGCCTTCTCGTCTTTCTCTTCTCTTCCTTTTCCATCTCTTATAAGCCTTTCCATTTGCTTATCTTTCTCCTCAACTTTCTTCTCTTTCTTTCTCTTCTCTTCTTTTCTTCTCTCTCTTCTCTCTTTCTTCTCCTGTTTTCCTTTTTCTATAGCTTCCCTTTTCCATATCTTATAAGCCTAACCATTTGCTTTTCTTTCTCCTTCACGTCGCCTTTCTTCTCTTCCTCTCCCTTCTCTTTCTTCTTGTGCCTTCTCTGACGTTTTCTATGAAGCTTCATTTTCCTTCTCTTATAAGCCTAACCATTTGCTTTTCTTTCTCCTCAACGTGGCCTTTCTTCTCTTCTCTCTTCTCTTTCTTCTCGTGCCTTCTCTGACGTTTTCTATGAAGCTTCCTTTTCCATCTCTTATAAGCCTAACCATTTGCTTTTCTTTCTCCTCAACGTCGCCTTTCTTCTCTTCTCTTCTCTTTCTTCTTGTGCCCTTCTCTGACGTTTTTCTATGAAGCTTCCTTTTCCACTTTATAAACCATTTGTTTTTTTCTTTCTCCTCATTTGCTTTTTCTTCTCTCCTTCTCTCTTCTCTTCCCTTTCTTCTTTCTTCTTCTTTCCAACTTTTCTTCTTTTCCTTCCTTCTTTTCCTTCTTTTTTTCTTCTCCTTCTTCTCTGACATTTCTATCTTCTTTTTCTTCTCTTTTCCATCTCTTTTTCTCCTAACCATTTGCTTTCTTTCTCCTCAACTTCCTTTTCTTCTCTTCCTCTCCCTTCTCTTTCTTCTTGTGCCTTCTCTGACGTTTTCTATGAAGCTTCATTTTCCATCTCTTATAAGCCTAACCATTTGCTTTTCTTTCTCCTCAACGTCGCCTTTCTTCTTCTCTTCTCTCTTTCTTCTTCTCTTGCCTTCTCTGACATTTTCTTATAAGCTTCCTTTTCCATCTCTTATAAAACGCCTAACCATTTGCTTTTCTTTCTCCTCAACGTCGCCTTTCTTCTTCCTTCTCCCTCTCTTTTCTTCTTGTGCCTTCTCTGACGTTTTCTATGAAGCTTCATTTCCATCTTCTTATAAGCTTTTCTTTCTCCATTTTTCTTTTCTCTCAAAGTCTCCTTTCTTCTCTTCTCTCTTCTTTTCTTCTTCTTGTCTCTTCTTTTCCATCTCTCTGTTTTCTTGCATCTCTTTCTCCTCAACGTCCTTTCTTCTCTTCTTCTTTTTCTCTCTTTTCCCTTCTTTTCTGACCTTTTCTGAATTTTTTCTCATCCTTTTATCGCCTTTCTCCTTGCTTTCTTTCTCCTCTCTCTTTCTCTTCTCTCTTCTCTTTCTTCTTGTGACTTCTCTGACATTTTCCATTATCTTCCTTTTCCATCTCTTATAAGCCCTAACCATTTGCTTTTTTTTCTTCCTTCTCTCTTCCTCTCTTCTCTTCTTGTCTTCTCTTTCGTTTTCTTGTTCTTCCTTTTCCATTTTTCTCCTAACCATTCCTTTTGTCTTCTCTTCATAAGCTTCCTCTTCTTTTTCTCTTTCTTCTTTGACTCCTCAACGTTTTCCTTTCTTCTTTTCCATCTCTTATAAGCTTCTCTTTTGCTTTTCTTTCTCCTCTCCCTTTCTTCTTCTTCTCTTTTCCTTCTCTTATTTCTTTTCTTTTCTTTCTTTTCCATTCTTTTCGTCTTTGCTTTTCTTCTCTCTTCCCTTTCTTCTTTTTTCTTCTCTCCCTCCATCTTCTCTTCCTTCCCTTTTCTTCTCCTTCCTTTTCCATTCTTATAAGCTTTTACCATTTGCTTTCTTTCTCCTCAACGTTCTTCTCTTCTCTCTTCTCTTCTCTCTTCTCTTGTGCCTTCTCTTCTTTTCCCTCTCTTCCTTTTCCATCTCTTATAAGCCTAACCATTTGCTTTTTCTTTCTCTCCTCAACGTCGCCTTTCTTCTTCTCTTCTCTCTTCTTCTTTCTTCTTGTGCCTTCTCTTGACGTTTTCTATTCTTCTCTTCCTTTTCCATCTCTTCTCATGTTTGTCTTCTCTTTGCTTTTCTTCTCCTCTCTTATCGCCTTTCTTCTCTTCTCTCTTTCTTTCTTCTTCTTTTCTTCTCTGACATTTTCTATTCTCTTCCTTTTCCTTCTCTTCTAAGCCCTCTCCATTTGCTTTTCTTTCTCCTCAACGTTTCCTTTTTCTCTTCTTCTTCTCTTTCTTCTTGTGCCTTCTCTGACATTTTCTTCTCTCTTCCTTTTCTTATAAGCCTAACCATTTGCTTTTCTTTCTCCTTCTCTTTCCCTTTCTTTTCTTCTTTTCTTTCTTCTCTTTCTTCTCTTCTCTTCTTCCTTCTCCTTTTCTATAAACTTCCTTTTCCATCTCTTATAAGCCTAACCATTTGCTTTTCTTTCTCCTCAACGTCGCCTTTCTTCTCTTCTCTCTTCTCTTTCTTCTTTACTCTTCTCTGACGTTTTCTATTTCTTCCTTTTCCTCCTCTTATAAGCTAACCATTTGCTTTTCTTTCTCCTCAACGTCTTTCTTCTCTCTCTTCTTTTCTCTTTCTTCTTTGCCTTCTCTTCGTTTTTCTCTGAAGCTTCCTTTTCCATCTCTTATCAACCTAACCATTTGCTTCTTTCTTTCTCCTTCTCTTTTCTCCTTTCTTTACTCTTACTTCCTTCTCTCTTTTCTTTTCTTTTTCCATCTCTTCTCCTTTTTTTTTCTGAAGCTTCTCTTTTCCATCTCTTTTAAGCCCTTCTTCTTGTGACTTCTCTGAACGTTTCTCTTTTTTCTTTCCTTTCTCTCCTCTCCCATTCTTTGCTTTATTTCTCCTTCTCTTCTTCTTTCTCTTCTTCCTTCTCTGACGTTTTCTATTTCCATCTCTTATAAGCCTAACCATTTGCTTTCTTTCTCTCCTCAACATCCTTTCTTCTCTTCTTCTCTTCTCTTTCTTCTTTTGCCTTCTCTCTGACGTTTTCTATCATTTTCCATCTCTTATAAGCCTCCTTCTCCTTTTCTTTCTCCTTCTCTTCTCTCTTTCTTCTCCCTCTCTTTCTTTCTTCTTGTGCCTTCTCTGACGTTTTCTATGAAGCTTCATTTTCCTTCTCTTATAAGCCTAACCATTTGCTTTTCTTTCTCCTCAACGTCGCCTTTCTTCTCTTCTCTCTTCTCTTTCTTCTTGTGACTTCTCTGACGTTTTCTATGAAGCTTCCTTTTCCATCTCTTATAAGCCCCAAACCATTTGCTTTTCTTTCTCTCAACGTCGCCTTTCTTTTTCTCTCTTCTCTTTCTTCTTGTGACTTCTCTTTTCTTCTTTTTCTCTTTTTTCCATCTTTTCCCCTCTGTCTTATAAGCCTTTCATTTTCTTTTCTTTCTCCTCAACTTCCATTATTTTCTTTCTCTTCTCTCTTCTTCTCTTTCTTCTTCTGACTTCTCTGACTTTTTCCCTTTCTTTTTTCATTTCCATTTTCTTTTTTCCATTTTTTCTCCTTTTCTTTTCTTTCTCTCCCTTTTTCTTTTTCTTTTTTTCTCTTTCTTTTTTTTTTTTTTTTTTTTCCCTTTTATTTTCTTTATTTTCTCCCTTTTTCTTTTTCATTCATTTTTTCCTTTTCTTTTTTTTTTTCATTTTTTTTCTTTCTCCTTTTTCATTTTTCTTTTTCTTTTCTCTATTCATTTTTTTCCTTTTCTTTTTCATTCATTTTTTTTCCTTTTCTTTTTCATTCATTTTTTCCTTTTCCTTTTTCCTTCATTTTTCCCTTTTTCTTTTTCCTTTCATTTTTTCTTCTTTCATTTTTTCATTTTCTTTTTTCCCATTTTTCCCTTTTTTTTCTATTCATTTTTTCCCTTTTCTTTTTTTCCTTCATTTTTTTCCCTTTTTCTTTTTCATTCATTTTTTCCTTTTCTTTTTCTTTTCATTTTTTCCCCTTTTTTTTTCATTCTTTTTTTCCCCCTTTTTTTTTTTTTTTTCCTCAACGTCTTTTTTCATTTCTTCTTTTTTCTTCTTTTTTTTCCCCTTTTCTTTTTTCATTCATTTTTTCCCTTTTCTTTTTTTCATTCATTTTTTTCCTTTTCTTTTTTCATTCCCTTTTTTCTTCTTTTTTTTTTTCTGACATTTTTTGAAGCTTTCTTTTTTCATTCATTTTTTCCATTTCTTTTCTTTCTCCTCAACGTTTTCCTTTTTTTTTTCATTCATTTTTTTTTTTTCTTTTCTTTTTCTTATGTTTTTCCTTCTTTTTCCTTTTCCTTCATTTTTCCCTTTTCTTTTCTTTTTCATTTTTTCTCATTTCTTTTCATTCTTCTTTCTTCTTCCAACATTCTTGTCCTTTCTTCATTTTTCCTTTTTCTTTTTTCCTTCTTCTTATGTCTTTTCTGCATTTTTTTCCTTTTCTTCTTTCTTACCAATTTTTTTTGGATCTTATCATTCTGAAAATCCATTTTCTGATTCTCTCTGCTTTTCAAACAACTCAAATAAATACGAATAAGATTTTTCCTATTCTTCTCATAACTCCTCACTGGAATGCAAACTCTTTCCTCTTTGAATTGAAATTCTCTGAAATTTTCTTCTCAAAGAAAGACCTTCTCTTTAAGCCTAAGAGTCATTTGACTTTTCTTTCTCCATTTGAGATTTTCCTTTCTTCTCTTTCTCTTTTATGTCTTTTTCAGGACTCTGGTTTTCTATACTCTCCCTTTTCCTTCTCTTATAGCTATAACAATTTTCTTTTCTTTGATTCCTCCCCAGGTCTCTTTCTGTCATCCACTTACTTAAGTCCGCCAGATATTCTCTGTTGTTTTCCTTGTCTCCCTTTTTTCCTCTATTCTTCCCATTTGTTCTTTCCTCCAGGCCCTCCTTCCTCATTATATGTCCCTCAAACTTTCTTCTGTCTCTTTCCTGATGTTAAGTATAAGCCTCCTTTTTGTTTTTTCCTCTCTAAGATCTCACCATTTGCTCACTCTCTCAGTCCATTATATCCTTCTGTCTCCCACATCTCTTTCTTCTAGAGTCTCTTCTTCATCTTTTGGAAATCCTTTTCAACATTCGATGCCCCTAAAGAATTTGCTTTGTCGCGTTCAGTTCAGTAACAAAATTTCTTTTTTTGTCTTCTCTTTCTTCTTAAGAATTCTCTGAAAAATTTCTACAAGGGAGAGATTCCTTCTCTTAAAAGCCTTGCATTTGCTTTTTCTTTTCCTCAACGTTGAATTTCTTCTCTTCTCTTTCTCTTTTCTCGAGCCTTCTCTTTTCATTCCTACCCTTCCTTTTCCTTTCAAATAAGCCTAACCATTTGATTTTCATTCTCCTCAAGAACTTTCTTCTTTCTCTCTTTCTCTTTCTTCTTGTGCAAACTTCTCATGAAGTTTTCTACGAAGAGGCTATCGTTTTCCATCTCTTTTAAGCGAACCATTATTTTCCACTCTTTCTCAACAGGCGAGACGTCTTCTCTTCTCTCTTCTCATTTCTTCTTGTATTTCTCTGGAGATTTTCAGATGAACTTCCCTTTTCCATCTCTTTTCCTCTCCCATTTGATTTTCTTTCTCCTCGCCCATTTCTCTTCTCTCTTCTTTCTTCTTTTGAATTCTCTCTAGCTGTAATCTTCCTTTTTCTCTTTTCTCTATAAGGGTAACTATCTGCTTTCTTTGAAGATAAAGTTTCAATTTTATTCTTCTCTTTCTTCTCAACCCTTCTCTGAAAATTTTCAATTTTCTTTCCATCTCTTATAACTTCCTTTTCTTCTCTTATCCTTTTCTCGACATGACTTCTTTCTCTCTTCTCTTTCTTCTTGCCTCGTTAACTGCAAAGAACCTCTTCCTTCTCTTTTTTTTTTAATTATTAATTTCATCCTCCTCAACGTCGATGAAGCCACTTCTCTTTCTTCTTTGGTTCTCCTGAAAGAAAGAGAAAGAGCAATTCCAATTATTAACCTTTTTTCTTTTCTCTCCTCAGGTCATTTTTTCTCTTTCTTTTCCTCCAGTCCTCTGGAAAATTCTTCTTTCTTTAATATTCATTCTTATAAGGGAAACCATTCCTTTCTTTCTCCTCGGTGGTCCTTTCTTCTCTTCTCTCTTCTCTTCATCTTCGTCGTCTTTGTAAATTTTTTTTAGTTCTTTTCCAACTCTTAAGAACTTTTTCATTTCTTTTTTTTTTCTTTTTTACGTCGCCTTTCTTCTCTTCTTCTTCTCTTTCTTCTTAGAGGGACTCTTCAAACTTTTTCTATAACTTGTTTTACTCTCTTATGAAACTTGCCTTTTATATTTTCTTTCCTCGCATCATTTTCTTTGGGGAAACTCTTCCTTTCATTTCTTTTCTCTTTTTTCTCTCCTTTCATTGAAGGTCTAACTTTAAACTGCTCTTCTACTTCAATAGTTCCCTTTCTTCCTCTTCCAAGGAGACGGTAACATTTTAACTTCTCTTTTCTCTGAATATTTTCTCTCCTCTTCCTTTTCTTCTCTTTCTAAGCTCTAACCATTTGCTTTTTTTTCTCCTCAACTTTATCTTCCTTTCTTCTCTTCCTCTCCTCTCTTTTCTTCTCTGTCTTCTTCTCTGACTCTTTCTTCTCCTTTTCCTTCTTCTTTTTTCTCTCTCTTTATAAGCCTTCCATTTGTCTTTTCTTTCTCCTCAACGTCGTCTTTCTTCTCTTCTCTCTTCTCTTCTCTCTTCTTCTTTTTGCCTTCTCTTCTCTTTCTATAAACTTCCTTTTCCATCTCTTATAAGCCTAACCATTTGCTTTTCTTTCTCCTCAACGTCGTCTTTCTTCTCTTCTCTCTTCTCTTTCTTCTCTTTTCTCTTCTCGTTTTCTTCCTTCCTTTTCCATCTCTTATAAACCCCCAACCATTTGCTTTTCTTTCTCCTCAACTTCCCTTTCTTCTCTTCTCTCCTTCTCTTTCTTCTTGTTTCCTTCTCTGACTTTTTCTATTTTCTCTTCCTTTTCCATCTCTTCTAAGCTCTAACCATTTGCTTTTCTTTCTCCTCAACGTCTTTCTTCTCTTCTCTCTTCTCTTTCTTCTTCTCTTGCTATTCTCTCTTCCTTTTCTATCTCTTTTCCTTTTCCATCTCTTATTTTCCCCTTCCATTTGCTTTTTCTTTCTCCTCAACGTCTCCTTTCTTCTCTTCTCTCTTCTCCCTTCTTCTTTTTTCCTTCTCTCTTTTCTCTCTTCCTTTTCTTCTCTTTCTTCCTAACCATTTCCTTTTCTTTCTCTTTCTCATCTCTTCTCTTTCTCTTCTCTCTTCTTCTTGTTTTCTCCTCTTTTCTCTCTTCTTTTCCATATCTTCCTTTTCTTCTCTTTTCTCTCCTCAACATTTCTCTTTCTTCTTTCTCTCTTCTCTTTCTTCTTTTCTCTTCTTTCTTTTTTCTTTCCTCTTCTTCTTTTCTTCTT